TCCTGGGCTTAGGCGATTCTCTTGCCTCAGCCTCCAGAGTAGCTAGGACTATAGGCGCCTGCCACGACACCTGGCTATTTTTTTGTTGTTGCAGTTTGTCCGGGGCCGAGCTTGAACCCAACATCCTCAGTATATGGGGCCAGCACCCTACCCACTGAGCACAGATGCCACCTGAAGCAAATTGATATTTGCAATATAATTTGAACATAGTCCCTTTTTCAGCAAAGCAGGATTATTCTATTCATCAACATGAAGGCTGCTGGGTGTGGTGGCTCATACATGTAATTCTAGCACTCTGGGAGGCCAAGGTGTGTGGACCACCTGAAGCTCAGGAGTTCGAGACCAGCCTGAGCCAGAGCAAGACCTCATCTTTAAAAATACCCGGGCGTTGTGGTGGGTGCCTATAGTCCTAGCTACTCTGGAGGCTGAGGCAAGAGAATTGCTTAAGCCCAAGATTGTGAGATTGCTGTGAGCTGTAACACCATGGCATTTTATCGAGGGCAACAAAGTGAGAATCTGTCTCAAAATAATAATAATAATAATAATAAAATGAAAATTGAAAAAGGATAACTTAGGCAAAAGGCTCGCTTAAGCCCAAGAGTTGTAGGTTGCTGTGAGCTATGACACCACAGCACTCTACCCAGGGCAACAGCTTGAGACTCTGTCTCAAAAAAAAAAAAAAAAAAAAGAGATGTGAGGTACTTGGTGGTGTGAAGTTTTTGCTTTGTTCCATTTGACTGAATTTTCCATAGAGAAGAGGCATCAGATCTTCTCTTTCTCTGGGTTTTCATGAACAATCAAGTATTTCAAAATCTGATTCCTGCTGTCAATCATGTTTTTCCTTTCTTAAACTCCAGCATCTTAAATTAGGATTCTACTATGAATTAAAACAGCAACAAGGGAGGCACCTATGCCACAGTAGGTAGGACACCAGCCCCATATACGGAGGGTGGCGGGTTCGAACCTTACCCCGGCCAAACTGCAACAAAAAAATAGCCAGGTGTTGTGGTGGGCGCCTGTGGTCCCAGCTACTTGGGAGGCTGAGGCAAGACAATCACCTAAGCCCAGGATTTGGAGGTTGCTGTGAGCTGTGACACCCCAGCACTCTACCAGGGGCAATAAAGTGAGAATCTGTCTCTAAAAAAATAAATAAATAAAATAAAACAGCACCGAAGAAAATTTGGCCATACATTTTATCCTACCAGCCAGGAGTGGTATAAAAATAGCCAACGTGCTGAAATATTTATTCAGGCTACATTTGCTTGAATGTAGTGATATTGCATCTGCAGTAACATTTCCTGAGTTTTTCCTTCCATTCACAGGACCAAGATGGGGACTTCTAGCGAAGACTCCAGCAAAAAGAAGCCTGCTATGGAAACCAGGAGGGTAAGCACCAAAGTAGAAGCTTTGGAGGTTCTTGGCTGTTCCTACTCTGTTACAACACGATTCCTATTACCAGCACATCTTGGACCTTAGTGCAGATTGAATTGACTGAACTCATTCTCAGGTTTCACTGTCTGTAAAACAACATTCAACTATTCTTCCCTTGCCACAACTCATTGCAAAAGTGGCTGTATTTACGCACATCAATGAATCCTTTTGTTAAAATGCCCTCTCTTCTCAGCTTAAAAATCTGCTTCTCATGTGAATTGAGGTGGGATCCAGTATAGAATTTTCTTGTTAGAACCCCTGGCTTTTCTTCCTTCTTTAAAAAGCTGTGAGCCATTATATATGCCTTATAGACCCTCCTTTTTTTCTTACTTGTCTGTGTCTCTAAAGTAGCTCTTAACCTAAATACCCCAAGGCTAGCAACTCACTTCCTTCACCTTCTCAGGACCCATAACGTGATCAGTTATCGAACAAACATTTATACATATATACATTCAACACATTTTTATTGAGTGTCTACTGGGTGCCAAGTACCAGGAATATCATGCTTTCCCTTGAACACACCCACAGTGTAAAGCTAGGCAGACAATTACTGATAGATGTGCTATGTAGAGGAGTAGAAGGAAGCACAGGCTACATAGGGAACACAAAATGGTCATGAAGGAAGGATTCTCAAAGTAGCTCAGAGTAGCTTAAAGAGCCCAGGCCAAGAGGGAGCACTATGATGCTTATGGTGACTGCAAGCCAGTGCACCAGGAATATAGAGTACACTAAGAAATGTTATTGGATAGGTTAGCATGGGCTGGATCATAAATGGCCTTGAGGCTACTTTCAAGATCATGGAAATTTCCTAAAACAAGTAGAAGAATGAAGTTATGTTAATTTCTAAACTATTTAATATTATTTTGTCTCCTGTTTGCAAGGCATTTTGTCGGGTGCTGGGACACACACAAACATATGTAAAACTTGGTTTCTTTTTTCCAAGAGCTTATAATTAAGTTGGGAGAGGAATGCACCCTTAGGGATTTAAACCTTTGCCTTTGTGCCATGGCCAATTGGCCCACTCAGTGATTTTAAGCAAATAGTCACCTCCTTCAATACCTCCCATGCTTTACAGAGGTAATAAGAAATGAGAAAGTACATGAGAAAGTACATGAATCTCCAGAGAACAAAGACACTTTATACAACCAAGATAATTACTATTAAAGAAACATTTTCCTCACTCTCTACCCTTTGTACCTTCCTATTCTTAGTTTGACACATCATCTCCCTCAAGAACAATACCCACAGCTTCTTACTCAACATAATTACCTTTTCAGCCTGATTTGAGTTTAGAAAAAGACTCTGAGAAAAAGGAACATGTTTATTGATTTTGACTCAAAGCCCAAAGACAGTCACTATTGTAGACCCTATTCCCAGGGAGAGGATTTCTCCTAAATTAAAGTGATCACAGTGGTTCTCAGTGTAAGTCACTTGATCTGGAAAAATTGCATTTGCTCCTATGGTCCAATGCTTAATATTTTCTCCTTCCCTCTGGGAGGAGTTAAGAATCATAGTCAGTGTGGATGATGCATGTCTGAACACATTGGGAGCTTGTGTAAGGAAAGCTAAGAAGAATACAACACTTATCTCTATTTCTTAAGAGATTTAAGAGAGAATGAGAAGGAAGAGCAGGCCCCTTCAGTTTGTTACTTTTGGTCCCAGACCTAAAGCTCCAGACTTTGGAAGGATAAAAGATGGAGATGAGCTCAGGAGGAGTTCAAGGCTACAGTGAGCTATGGTCGCACCACTATGCTCCAGCTTGGCTAACAAAGTGAGATCTTGTGTCTACTATAATAAAAATTTAAAAATAGGGCGGCGCCTGTGGCTCAAATAAATAGGGCACTGGCCCCATATACCAGAGGTGGCGGATTCAAACCCGGCCCTGGCCAAAAAAAAAAAAAATTAAAAATAAAAACATTTTTTAAATGGGGGCATGAGTAGATAGATGAAGGGCCCAGAAGTGAAACAGACTGACTGCTCATAGATTTTTATTTGTTTGTTTGGTTTGTTTGTTTGTTTTTGCTACCTCTGCTCCAAATGATCTGGCTGTAAACAGGACAATCTTGCATCAAGTTTTCAGGGTATTGTGTTCTGATGGAGGTCTCAGATGGTACCTTCAGTCTTAATTCCAGCTATAATGTTCTTCCTCTCCTAACAATTTTGCCTGAGAGGACTGTCCTTAAGATTTCAAGAAAGCGGTTATACTATCTTTTCAAACTCTTTGGCTCAAGCAATTCTCTTGCCTCAGCCTCCCAATTAACTGGGACTACAAGTGCCTTCCACAATGCCTGGCTATTTTTTGTTGCAGTTTGGCTGGGGCCGGGTTTGAACCCACCACCCTTGGTATATGGGGCCAGCACCCTACTCACTGAGCCACAGGTGCCACCCAGTTTGCTTTCACTCTTAAATCTTATGCTTTTAGAGGGACAGTGGTTAAGAGTCAGAAATGAAAAAACAGTCCTGAAGGGAGTCAGAAGCCAGCTCCTAGTGCTGATGTAAAATCAGTTCACCACAGCAGATAGCATTCAGTTTGCCAATCTGTGTAAAGTAAAATTTAAGACTTTCCTTTGTCCTCTTTTAAACAGAACAGAGAAAGAAAAACCCAGCAGGAGTGGCAGGAGACCCTGGTCTCTGATATTACTGATGTCCAAGAACAGGGTAGGTTCTGGGAAATTGATATTTATTCTCCTTTCATAATCACCCTGTCCTGTTTAATTGTCTGATGAACAGAGTGGCACAGGGCTTTGAGTCTGGGCACACTCAGGGTAATATGCCTTGCTCTTGCAGAAGTGCTTATTGGCCATCTTCCAGTCAGGGAACCTGTCCTACTGTAATAGAAGCCCCCCAGCTCCCAAAAAGAGTGAAGGGAGGAAGTGCGTTCTCTTCTTCTGCTTCTTTTTTGTTTTTTTGTTTGTTTTTAGAGACAGAGTTTCACTTTATCGCCCTCAGTAGAGTGTTGTGGCATCACAGCTCACAGCAACCTCCAACTCCTGGGCTTTGGTGATTCTCTTGCCTCAGCCTCCCGAGTAGCTGGGACTACAGGTGCCCATCAGAACCCCAGCTATTTTGTTGTTGCAGTTTGGCTGGGGTTGGGTTCGAACCCGCCACCCTCAGTATATGGGGTTGGCGCCCTACCCACTGAACCACAGGTGCCACCCCAACCTCTGCTTCTTATGGTGCAGATGCTCCCACTAATTCAGAACATTTTTAAGCGGGGTGGTAAGTTTTATAGAAAAGTTAGGAGGGATGTGCTTCCCTTTTCTTTACTGTTGGAGAAAGATCTCTGGGAAGCTGTCTCTCCTATTCCTTTGGGCATTAGCATTTACACTAAAGGTAAAGATGCATGCTCTGCAGGGGTGGGAGTACAAGAAAAGGCATTACCCTTCCATCTTGCTGATCTTTACCCAGCATGAGGATTCCCTGTAAACTGCTACTCCACAGAAGCAGGGATGTAAGCGAGTGAGGTTTTCAAGTTGTCATTCCATGTGAAGACTTACCAGCCATGGTAGGCAGCTGGGACTTGAGCTGTGTAAATATCTCAGGAACCTGAGTGAATACTCTGAGACAAGAATAGCATCTTAGTTAACTGAGATGAAATTGGGAAGATCAGAACAAACAATTCACCTGGCTTTAAAGAAATCTTAGTATTATATAAGGTTGCCCTTATCTCATGCTGGTGCCCTACCTTCTACTTAGACAAAAGAGACCTATGGACTAACACCTTTTTCTGCCTGAGTGCTTTCCTTACAGATTCTAAGTTGGGGGACAGCCTGGCAGGGCCAATTCTCCCACCATTGGAGCAAAACAATCCATCTCCTCCTGAAGAACCAGGAGCCAGTGGCTTCTTTGGGTTTCTAAGGTAAGACAATTTTCTTTCCTGCCGTCAAACTGAGATTTAGCACCAGAGTGGTATTCTAGTTCCAGAGTTTGCCTCATGGAATCTTTGATGGAAATTCAAATAGAAAAGAAAGCAGATTACTTGCAGAGGTTTCTCACTGATGTCCAAGATGGATGATGGAAATGAGATTGAGAACAAAAGCACCTAATTGTGGATTAATAAAGACTGTGTCATATTTATTTTTATACAACTCATCCCTACCCTGATGTGCCAGCACAGGGCCTGGTTCCGTAAACATTGCCTAAACAAAGACTATTCTTATTTTACTTGGGTCATTCCGATGATTTAATTACTATAATGTTTCTAGTTCCCCCTCTGAGTGTAGGTTGTGTCTTAAGAGTCTTTTTTCAGAAGATAGCAAATCCCTCTGTCTATAGCTCAGCCATCTTAATTGCAATTCTTTTTCTTTATTTCCTCCGCCTGAGTATAATCTAATTTGGGTACCTTTTCAAATGCTGTTGCAAATTTGAATTTCCATTCAGTGGTTCCCCAGAGCAAAAATGCTCTAACTAATGAAGCGCTAATGGGAATCTGGAAGAAGGGAAGGAAACCTCAGAGTCTCAGCATTCTCTTCTCTCATTCCTACAGCTCTCTCTTCCCATTTCGATATTTTTTCGGGAAGAACAACCACTAGTGAGCCTTTCAAACGCAGCAGTGGAAAGAGGATCATCTCTTGGAGTGAATCCTTCCAAGCCGTTCTCGTCCTCCATCTCTATCCTTAGGACACTTCAGCCATGGGAAATGAGGGTACCAAACTGAAGGCTTATCCTGTCCTTTGCCCCTTCATAACTAAATTTGTTTTCCAATTCAAAACATTAAGAAAAGAATGGAACTTTCTAAAATGCTATGGCCCTGAGGGCCAGTTTAGGCCTTTTGTCTCCAGCACTTAGGATCCTAATGACAATAAATGATTTATGAAGACCTATTGATTGAATTTAGTGAGGTAGAGTAAAAGAGAACAAACTCTTCCCTCAAGACACAGAGAGACGGCTCGGCGCCTATAGCTCAACCGGCTAAGGCGCCAGCCACGTACACCTAAGGTGGCGGGTTCGAATCCCCAGCCCGGACCCGCCAAACAACAATGATGGCTGCAACCAAAAAATAGCCGGGCGTTGTGGCGGGCGCCTGTGGTCCCAGCTACTTGGGAGGCTGAGGCAGGAGACTCACTTGAGCCCAGGAGTTGGAGGTTGCTGTGAGCTGTAATGCCATGGCACTCTGCCCAGGGGGACAGCTTGAGGCTCTGTCTCAAAAAAAAAAAAAAAAAAGACACAGAGAGACAATGCATGACTCTTCCTCTATGTCTACCTGGTTACTGTTTACAGGATCTCTTTGGATGGGTGAGTCTGTACCTGACTTCAAACTTTAAACTTTACTGCCAGGAGTTAGGGAATGGGGTTTTGCAAGACCCACTGTCCTGAGCCATGCTGACCCCAAAGAAATAATCTCTTCTTTTAATAATTCACCCTGTTTGGCCCCAAGTGTAGCCTCTCCATAGGTAAAATGCTTCCTGCCTATCTATCCCTCTGGCTCTTTGACAGTAAGGCAGATTAGTTTATCAGATTAATTGGAAGTCAGCCCAGGTTAGGGCCCCTGGAGAAGACCTAGACACCCAAGGTCTCTGTCTTCAGCTAGGGCTAATCTGGGACAGTTTAGACTTGTGTAGCTACAGAGGACCAAAATAACCAATGGGAATTTAGAGAAACTCATTTTAGCTCAGGACAAAGGAATCGCTTTTTAACTGTTAGAGATATCTCATATTAGAATGGGGTACCCTTGTGAAATAATCAGCCCTTTAAGCCCAAAGGCTTTTTTTTTTTTTTTTGAGACAGAACCTCAAGCTGTCCCCCTGGGTAGAGTGCTATGGCATCACAGCTCCCAGCAACCTCCAACTCCTGTGCTCAAGCTATTCTCCTGCCTCCACCTCCCAAGTAGCTGAGACTACAGGTACCCACCACAACACTCAGCTATTTTTTGGTTGTAGCCATCATTGTTTGGCGGGCCTGGACTGGATTCTAACCCGCCAGCTCAAGTGTATGTTGCTGGCATCTTAGCCGCTTGAGCCACAGACGCTGAGCTTTTTTTTTTTTTGAAACAGAGTCTCACTTTCTTGCCCCTGGTAGAGTGCTATGGCGTCATAGCTCACAGTAACCTCAAACTTGGGCTCAGGCGATCCTCTAGCTTCAGCCTCTCAAGTAGTTGGGGCTACAAGTGCCAGCCACAATGCCTGGCTACTTTTTAGAGACGGGTCTTGCTCTTGCTCAGGCTGGTCTCAAACTTGTTAGCTCAGGCAATCCACCCACCTCGGCCTTCCAGAGTGCTGGGATTAGAGGCAAGCCCAGTGACTTCAAACAGAGCTGATTATCTGTCATATGCCAGAAGGTTCCTCTAATGAGTGGGGGAAAGTGGGGGTTAGGCTGCTGAGGTCCCCTGACTCTCCTAAATTCATTGCCTTTGCCTTTGGTAGGGAAAAGAAAAGCTTCAGTGCCCCAGCAAATGAGGGCCAGAGGGGAGGAGGGACTGAAGAGGAAGCCCTGAGGTGTGGGAATTTGAGAATTAGCAACATTGGTAACACCAGTTCCTCTCAAACTATTGTTTACAGCCTTTATTCTACAGTCCCAAACATGGCTTTACAAAGCTACTGAAAGGCACAGCTCTAAAATCTGGAAATTGAGTGCCCATCCTGGCTCTGACTAGCTTACGATGAAGCTTTGGGAAAGCTGCTTTCCTCTCAGGTTCTTATTTTCTCATCTAGAGTGGAGAGGGTAGCATTTGGTGAGCTATAAATGTCTTCTCATCTGAAATTCTATGTGACTGGCCTCTTTCTGAACAGGCCAATGAGACAATGACCCTGGGGAGAGCTGTCCAGAATCACTACAGCTTCATTCTCATCTCTACCCTGCCCCAACCTCTCTACTGCTAAATAAGGGTCTTTTTCCGGCTCCATGCCTGTGGCTCAATCGGCGAAGGCGCCAGCCACATACACCTGAACTGGCAAGTTTGAATCCAGCCTGGGCCCGCCAAACAACAATGACGCCTGCAACCAAAAAATAGCCAGGCGTTGTGGCAGGCGCCTGTACTCCCAGCTGCTTGGGAGGTAGAGGCAGGAGAATCGCTTGAGCCCAGGAGTTGGAGGTTGCTGTGAGCTGTGATGCCACAGCACTCTACCCAGGGGGACAGCTTGAGGCTCTGTCTCAATAAATAAATAAATAAATAAGGGTCTTTTTCCAACTTGCCACATTCTTACCCTGAGTGTAATTTAGTACCATGGATGGATGGTAGGAGATGGATGGGTTCTGTTGTTTTGTGAATCTCATTCTGTTGCCTGGGATTGAGTGCAGTGGCATCACCATAACTCACTGTAACCTCAAACTCCTGGGTTCAAGGTCCCCCTGCTTCAGCCTCCCGAGTAGTTGGTATGCACAGGCACACATCACTACATCCAACTAATTTGTTCTATTTTTTGTAGGGATTGAGGGGGGTCTTAATTCTTGCTCAGGCTGGTCTTGAACACCTGCCTCAAGAAATCTTCCTGGCCAGGTGTGGTGATTCATGCCTATAATCCTAATACTCTGGGAGGCTGAGGCAAGAGAATCACTTGAGCTCAGGACAGCTTGAGCAAGAGCAAGACCCCATCTCTACTAAAAATGGAAAAATTAGCTGGGCATTATGGTGGGCACTGGTACTCTCAGCTACTTGGGAGGCTGAGGCAGAAGGATCACTTGATCCCAGGAGTTTGAGGTTGCCATGAGGTAGGCTGACTCCACAGCACTCTAACCTGGGATAACAGAGACTGTCTTTAAAAAAAAAACGGCAGCACCTGAGGCTCAAGGAGTACGGCGCCAACCCCATATACTGGAAGTGGTGGGTTCAAACCCGGCCCCGGCCAGACTGCAACAAAAAAATACCCAGGTGTTGTGGCAGGCACCTGTAGTCCCAGCTACTTGGGAGGCTGAGGCAAGAGAATTGCCTAAGCCCAAGAGCTGAAGGTTGCTGTGAGCTGTGACACCATAGCACTCTACAGAGGGCAACAAAATGAGACTCTGTCTCTTAAAAAGAAAAAGAAAACAAAAGAGAAGAAATCCTCCTGCCTGGGCCTCCAAAAGGCTTAGATTGTAGGCATGACTCACCACACCTGGGTGGAGATTTGGGTTCCAAACTAGCCCTGACATTAACTAGCTGTGTGACTTTTAGTAAGTAACTTTACTTTACTTTGTCATAGTTATCTCACTTATAAAACCAGAGCTGGACTAAACCATCAGATTTGCTTAGGTTGACAGACTCAGGCTTTCAGGAAGGAGTTAGGTCCCTGTTATTCCAGAGACCAGAAAGACCCTCCAGCTCCAATCTATAGCTGACCCACAGGATGAAAAGTCATCTACTTAACACTGTGGAAGTGAAGCTCTGAAACACTAAGTAACCACCCCAACTTCCAAGGCTTTGCAATCAAGCACATCTCAAGAGATTCCCCCTTGCATAATTTCCCTTTGTCCCTAAGACTTTCCTTCCCCCATCCCTTTCCTCTGCAGTCAGTAAAAATGCAAGCAAGGGCTTGGCTCCCGTAGCTCAGTGAGTAGGGTGCCAGTCACTTACTCTGAGGCTGGCAGTTTTGAGCCCAGCCTGGGCCTGCTAAACAACAATGATAACTACAACAACAACAACAACAAAAAAGCCAGATGTTGTGGTGGGCACCTGTAGTCCCAGCTACTTAAGAGGCTGAGGCAAAGAATCACTTAAGCCCAAGAGCTGGAGGTTGCTGTGAGCGGTGATGCCACTGCACTCTACTGAAGTGACATACTGAAACTGTCTCAAAAAAAAAAAATGTGGCTCGGTGCCTATGGCTCAAGTGGCTAAGGCGCCAGCCACATACACCTAAGGTGGGGGGTTCAAATCCAGCCCTGGCCCGCTAAACAACAATGATGGCTGCAACCAAAAAAAAAAAAAAATGCCAGCAGAGCTGAGCTCAGTGGTTTTAGGGTTGGGTGGCAAGGCCCTGAACAGGGAAGTGTCCTGCCCAAGGTCACACAGCAAAGAAGAATGGCCACAACTCTGCCTAGAGTCTCAACCCCTGTCCCTTCAATGCTATACCAGCTGTTGGGCTTTTCTCCACATCTCACTTCCCCAGCCCTGGACTGCAGGCAGCTTTTTGGACAGAGGGAAGCAGAAAGCAGCAGAAGCTACTTACTATCTGAGGATCACACCTCAAAGAGCAGAATTTCCCAGGTGGGATTGTGCTGAGTGAGGCTTCAGACTGGGAGGCTGGCCTGAAAGCAGAGCTCCATGAGGGCGTGGCTCCAAAACTGCAGGCAAATAAAAGCCCGTAGAGCAGGCACCACTCTGGAGACCAGCGGGAGGCACAGGGAGCCTGCAAGCCACTCTGTTCCTGGGCCGTGGAAGTGGTGAGCTCCCAGAGGCAGGAAGAGCTCCGGGAGGGCCTGGGGATGTGGACAAGGGCCCTGCTGGCCAAGATGGGGCAGATGGAGGGAGGAATATCTTTGTGTGCCAGGTGGTGAGGGGAATTCTAGGGGAGAATTACTGCACAGAGGGCTGACACACAAGTCTCATCCACAGAAAGCCGTTAACACACACCCATCCAGAGTGACACAGGCAGACACGCATACACGCATGCACACACACTCAGAAACAGCTCACCTGGAGGCATGTAGTATTTAAAGAATTCCCCCTCCCACCTGCACACCCACACAGAATCCACCTACTGTGTTGCAGATGCCCATGGCGTTCCCCCAACCCCTGCTCCTCTGCCTGCTAGTCCTGGCATTTACTGAAGGCCAGGATCAGGAGACAGCCATCCCAGGCTGCCACTTGCACCGTGAGTAACTCTGGGACCAGAGAGCTAGGAGTGGCAATTCTGGGTGGGAGCAAAGAGCTGATAGACCAGACTGTGGAGCTTCTAGACAGACCCACATGGAGACACAGAATACAGGAACTGGGATGAACTTTGCCGCTGCGCTGTCTACCGCTTGCCCATCTCCTTCTAGCCTTCAATGTGACAGTGAGAAGTGACCGCCAAGGCACCTGCCAGGGCTCCCATGTGGCACAGGCCTGTGTGGGCCACTGTGAGTCCAGTGCCTTCCCTTCCCGGTACTCTGTGCTGGTGGCCAGTGGCTATAGACACAACATCACCTCCATCTCCCAGTGCTGTACCATCAGCAGCCTGAAGAAGGTGAGGAGGGCCTGAGTCCAGTGGGGAAGGAGAGGAGGTGGGGATCTAAGATGGCCCTGAGAAAGGGCAGAAGAATATGGAGTTCCCTACCCTACAGGTGAAGGTGCAGCTGCAGTGTGTGGGGAAACGAAGGGAGGAGCTTGAGATCTTCACAGCCAGAGCCTGCCAGTGTGACATGTGTCGCCTCTCACGCTACTAGCCTACCATCTTCCCTCCTTCCTCCCTGGGGTCAGAGGGGTTCTCACTCTGGTGGGAAAAACTTGGGTCTGCAATTTAAAAAACTGGAAGGAGCTCTGCTGATTACTTGCTAAGGGCTTTTTTTTTTTTTTCAGACAAAAGTCTCACTATGTCATCTTTGATAATGTGCCATGGCGTCACAGCTCACAGCAACCTCAAACTCTTAGGCTTAAGCGATTCTCTTGCCTCAGCCTCCCAAGTAGCTGGGATTACAGGCCCCTGCCACAATCAATGCCTGGCTATTTTGTTGTTGTTGCAGTTGTCATTGTTCAGCTGGCCTGGGCCGGATTTGAACCGCCAGCCTGGGTGTATGTGGCTAGCGCCCTACCCGCTGAGCTATGGGCACCACCCAAAACATATGTTCGTCCCTGGGTGGGCTCAAACCACCAACCTTTCAGTTAACAGCTGAACACACTAACCGATTGTGCCACAGAGATGATGTTAATTATGGGATTTTTTTAAATGAAGGGGTTTCTCTAGCTCTGCCTCTTTTAAGGTTTTGCAACAGTCACCTCCTGGGAAGAGAGAAGATTCTGCCTCTGCTTGGCCCTTCTAACCAGTCTGTCATCATTTCATTTTCCTCATTAGCCCTACCCCTAAATAAAACAAGCAGTTTTTGAGTTTCTCTCTTTTATTAAGTCTACCCCCCAGCCAGGGGAAGGGGGATAAACTATTATTACTGTGACTCTTACCCCAGGACACTGTGAATCTTTTTTGCCTGTGCCCTCACCCCTCCCCCTGCCCAATAAATAAAAAGGGGACAAGGAAGTATAGGGCAAGGGAGGGGAGGGAAGGAGGATGCCCCAGGCCCAGGACAGTATCTGTGTTGTGGGTGAGCTGGGCAAGAATAAATAGACCATGGACTCCATGGTGGGGATAAGGAAGGACCTCGAGCTGGCCCGAGGCAAGGGCAGGTAAAGCGCTGAGTGTCCTTGCCCTAGGCTGGGAGCAATGGCTAGGAGCCTGCCTGCAGCCTGGAGTCCAGCTTTGTGGGGTAGGGAAAGATCCCTGATGGCAGCTTTCTGGTCAAGCTTGCCCTGATCAAGTCCTGCCACAGAGGCCTGAGAGTTCTGTTGCCAAGACCACCATCTTCTTTCCTTGTCTCCCCCCAGTGAAAGCTAGGCTGGGTAGGGAGTCCTCAGAATCCACTCTGGTAAGGCCTACAGGAGGTGTGTGTCTCTCTGGGCCCCTGGGCAGGTGAAGGGATGGAGGGACTGGCGGCTCTGGGTTTAGCTTCTCCCTTTTCAGGAGGCTTCCTAGCTCTGACCCCCACTGGTGGCCACCTGGGGTGTAAGCCGCTGGATGGGGGCCTCCATGGCTCCCTGGGTTCCCTGTAGCCGGCGTAGCCGCAGCTCCTCCAGGCCTTGCCACAGCTCCTGGCGCTCCCGGGCCTTCTGCTGCTCCCTGGGGACAAAAGGTGAGGCAGTTCCCTACCTGGGCACCCCCATAGTCCAACCACTGTCACAACCACTGCCTCACCTGTAGAGGGAGGGCACAGAACCATTTTCTGTTCTGTGACTCAGTAAGAATCACCTGCTTAGGAAAGGGAACTCAGTGACTCATCCCAGACTGCAGTCATGGAGAAGATGAATGAGCCTGGCTCTGAGTGGCCCTGGCTGAAAGGTAGGAAGCTACAGGGAGCTAGAACATGTCAACACCTGGAAGAACTACCCTACCCAGAAGGATGACTAGAGGATGCAGTGAGGAGCCAGGCACAGGATGCCCCAGCTCTTGGCAGGAACATGGGAACTTTCAACACCTAAGCAGACAGGGTTTGGGGTGGTCCTTTAGGGTTCCAGCCATGAGGGTCTGATTCCTTCCTGCTCTTCTCCCTCTCCCCAACACCTAGCCCATGAAAACTCACTGCTGCTTTTCCAGCTTGTAGGAGGCTGTGAGTTCATCAAACAGCTTTCCATTCATCTCCATGAACGTCTTGAGCACATTGTAGATCAGAGATACGATGGTTCTTGGCAGGGTCAAGGGAGGGAGTTGAGGAGATGAAAAAAACTTCAATTTGGCCCCACCTTTCTTTCCAGCTTTCTGCCTATTCCTGTCCCTCAAACACAGCATGTAGCCCTGAAGACCACAAGCACTACCCACATCTGTTCTTTTCACCACCCACTTGGCCATCTTCTGATGCTTTCTGTGATCCTCTAAGCTAGGAGTAGCCCCAAGGTCTGGATTGACTGGCCCAGGTCCCAGTTTCTGTGGGTTTAAGTAAAGGGCTGGAGACTCACTGATTCCAGTGCTCCTTAGAGACCTGGTAGAGGGTCCCAAACACAGCAGGCAGCACAGTGTGGCAGTTGTCCTCAATGAGGCTCAGGATATACTCATTGTTCCAGAAATACAGAGCCCGCTCTGCAACCTGGGGTAGACAAGATGGCAAAGTGAGAGCTTGGCAGTGGCTTCTTGTGAGTGTACAAAGTCTAGTGTCTATCCCTACCCAAAAACCTAGGCCCCCTGATGCCATACACCCTATCCTCAGGGGTTATCTACCCGCTGGAAGAATCAATGTGGTCAAGAGAAAAGGATTTGGACTCCACTGGATTTGGAGTCTAATGCTCAGGGGCAAATTGAGTGAGACCCATGTGATCATGAATGAGGCATTTCATCTCTCAGCCTCAGCTTTTTCTCATCTGTAAAAGAGGCTAATACCTACCTCCACAGAACTATTGTAAAAATCAAATAACATACTAGGCTTTAGGGTGTTATTTGTTTGTTTTTTCTTAATTTTATTTATTTATATTTTTTCGAGATAGAGTCTCACTTTGTTGCTCTCAGTCGAATGCCATGGTGTCATAGCTTGCAACAACCTCAAATTCTTGGGTGCAAGCGATTCTCTTGCCTTAGCCTCCCAAGTAGCTGAGACTATAGGCGCCTACCACAATGCCCAGCTAATTTTTAGAAATGAGGTCTGGCTCAGGCTGGTCTCAAACTTGTGAGTTTAGGCAATCTACCTGCCTCAGCCTAATCTTCAGTACCTGGATTATAAGTGTGAGCCACCGTACCTGGCCCTTATTTATTTTTTGAGACAGAGTCTCACTCTTTTACCCTGGGTAAAGTGCCATGGCATCATAGCTCACAGCAACTTCAAACTCTTGGGCTCTAGCGATCCTCTTGCCTCAGATTCCTGAGTAGCTGGGACTACAGGCACTCCCTACAATATGTGGCTAGTTTTTCTATTTTTAGCAGAGATGGGGTCTCACTGTTGCTCAGGCTGGTCTCACTCACTCAAGGGATTACAAGCATGAGTACACCCAGACTTTTTTGCTTTTTTCAGATGGAAAGAAGTAAAATGTTTAATTTCTCTTTTTTGAGACAGAGTCTCACTTTGTCCCCCTCGGTAGAGTGCCATGACATCATAGCTCACAGCAACCTCAAACTCTTAAGCTCAAGTGATCCTCTTGCCTCAGCCTCCCAAGTAGCTGGGACCACAGGGCTCTGCCACAATGCCTAGCCATTTTTAGAGACAGGGTCTCACTCTAGCTCAGACTGGTCTTGAACCTGTGAGCTCAGGCAATCCATCCATCTCAGCCTCCCACAGTGCCAAGATTACAGGCATGAACCACCTTACCCAGACTAAAAAGTTTATTTTTCTTTCAGAGGAGGGGGACAAAAGGTTGTAGCACATGAAATAAAGCCAGACTTGAAAAGATGTTTAATAGGCTTGGTACCTGTAGCTCAAGCAGCTAAGGTGCCAGCAACATACACCTGAGCTGGCGGGTTCAAATCCAGCCCAGGCCCACCAAACAACAATGACGGCTGCAACCAAAAAACAGCCAGGCATTGTAGTGGGCACCTGTAGTCCCAGCTACTTGAGAGGCGGAGGCAGGAGAATCGCTTGAGCCCAGGAGTTGGAGATTGCTGTGAGCTGTGATGCCACAGCACTCTACCCAGGGTGAAAGCTTGAGGCTCTGTCTCAAAAAAAAAAAAAAAAAAAAAGATGTTTAATAAACTGAAGTACCAGAGTCACTGCAAGGAAGAATTGACTCCAGGAGGGCTCATAAGAATAGGGGAAAGTCTGTGCACATATGCAGGAGAACATGAGTGACAGGTAGCTGGGGGCTGCCTGGGTCCTAAAGTGGATCTGATGAAATGTTAAGCCACCAAGAAAAGGGTAAGTGCTCCTAGAATGGAGCACACTTCAGTTTACCAAACATGTTTACACTCGTGATTTCTTCAATCCTCATCACCATCTGGAAAGAGATTGTTGTTGGCTCATTATTATAGATGAGGAACCTTAATCAGAACCAGAGTGGTGAAAGGGTTTGCCCAAAGCCTCTCGGCTTGACTGTAGGCCTCCTCGCCCTAAATCCAACATCCCCCTTTTATCAGAGCCAGGACTAGACAAGAAACTGAGAGCAGAGGGAGTTGTGTTAGGTCAACTGGCCACCCTTCCCAGGCCATACCCCACCTGCCCATCTTCATACCTGGAAATGCGGACTGGAAACACAGCGAGCCACCTGCTTAAAGAGAGGTTCCTGGATCTTCACAAACTGGGAGGGCTCGATGACATCAAGAATCTCTTCCATCTCTCCCAGAAACATCACCTGGGTGGGGTGGAGGAAGGAAGCAGGGACAGAAGGACAGCAGCTTGCATCTCTTCCCAACACACACACATACACCTGACTGCCTCTAGAAGCTGAGCCCTCCCAACCTCCCCCAGTAGGTATCAAAGCCCTTCATACCTCCTTCTGGGTGCAGGTTTTTGGCCAGTACTTGAGCAGCCCCCGGATCACCTGTGGGGGTTGAGGTAGAAAGAAGTTAGACCTGCAGAGATAAGGGTCCCGCCTTCCCCCAGGGGTACTCACATGCTCTGTCAAGGTGGCATCCTTCTCCAGGAACTGCACTACACAGTATGCCAGCTGGGAGGGGTGGAAAGAAGGAAGGCAGGGGTCAGGAAGGAACCAATGCCAAGGCTTCCCAGGACAGGATGCCAGATGCTGCTCACTTACTGCCTCTGACTCTTTTATTCACCAAGCATTACTGCCTGCCTAGGATGTACCAGGGCTCAGACTCCGTGTGCTAAGAATACAATGATCTCACAGGGAAACACTCAGCAAACTCATCCTTATAAATTTTGCAAAAGGTTCCATAATAGGGATGGCGCCTATGACTCAGTGGGTAGGGCACTGGCCCCATATACTGAGGGTGGCAGGTTCAAACCTGGCCCTGGCCAAACTGCAACAAAAATATAGCTGGGCATTGTAGCAGGCGCCTGTAGTCCCAGCTACTCAGGAGGCAGAGGCAAGAGAATCGCCTAAGCCCAGGAATTGGAGGTTGCTATGAGCTGTGATGCTACCACACTCTACCGAGGGCGATAAAGTGAGACTCTCTACAAAAAAAAAAAAAAAAAAAAGGTTCCAGCATCGTGGTGAGCACCTTTAGTCCCAGCTACTCGGAAGGCTGAGGCAAGAGAATGGCCTAAGCCCAGGAGTCGGAGGTTGCTGTGAGCAGTGTGACACCACAGCACTCTACCGAGGGTGATAAAGTGAGACTCTGTCTCTACAAAAAAAAAAAAAAAAGTTCCATAATAGAATTCTGTATCAAAATCTTTGGGAATATAGAAGGAGAAGAGTTTAACTCTGCTTAGGTGGGGTGGAGGTCAAGAGCAAAGGGCCTTGGAAAGCTTCACAGAGCTATGTCTGAGGTCAACCGTAAAGGGCCAGTGGGAATTCTCTAAGGTAGATGGAACAGAACTGTAAAGTGTGATAGGATCCTATGATAGGATCTCCAGGTCCCATGGCTACCCTGACTCTATCAGAAAGTCCTTGGGCAGCGCCTGTGCCTCAGTGGGTAGAGTGCTGGTCCCATATACCGAGGGTGGTAGGTTTGAACCCAGCCCTGGCAAAACTGCAACAACAACAAAAATAGCCAGGCATTGTGGCAGGTGCCTCAGAGAATCACCTAAGCCCAGGAGTTAGAGGTTGCTATGAGCTGTGACACCACAGCACGCTACTGAGGGAAATAAAGTGAGACTCTGTCTCTAAAAAAAAAAAATTAAAAAATTAAAAAATAAATAAAAAATAAAAGAAAATCCTGCTATACTAGGGCTGGGCCCCACCTGGGCGTGAAAGACAGACAGCGACTTGACGGAATGCAGGGGAATCAGGACGCGAACCAGGAACTGCTTGTGCTCAGTCTTCAAGGGCAGCGCAAAGCCATTGATGATGCTGAGGATTGGCAGAAGAGAGGAAGAGGGCTCAGATGACCCAGCCCCAGTCCCTCCTTCCAGAATCCTAAGCTCCAGCTGAGGCCCAGGGAGAATCACCTTCCTAAGATCTCCAGCAACTCAGCCACGCCATTGAAGTGCTCAAATTCATAGATGAATCTGCAAGAGGAAGCGAAGAACAGGAGTGCTCAGAGCAACTGGGGTAAGGCCCAGCCCCCTTTAGGCAGCCTGCCTACTTACCACCCCATCACACTGCACAATTATCCAACTCTTTCCCAACCCAGAGCCCGCGGTCCCTTCCCAATTTCCTACTCACACCTTTTAAACACCCTTTTCAGCCCAGCCACATCTGCCACTGAGTCCCATCTCAACCCTCTCTGCTGTGAAGTGTTCCAGTGCATCTCTTCCTCCCCCAGACCCTATCCCCATCCAGCCTGCAGGGCTATGTCCTTCACTCCCTGTTCCAGTCAACCAAAGGAATGACAAATATTTAGAGCAGTTACTGTATGCCATATAATTCTCAAATTATCAGCTGGAGGCCATACTCAGTGGTTAGGGTGCCAGCCATATGCTCCAGGGCCAGCTCCAGGGCTGGCCCGACCCAGGCCTGCTAAACCTAAAAAAATAGCTGGGCTTTGTGGCGGGAACCTATAGTCCCAGCTACTAGTAGGCTGAAGCAAGAAAATCTCTTGAGCCCAGGAGTTTGAGGTTGTTGTAAGCTATGATGCCACAGCACTCTTCTAAGGGCAACAAAGTGAGACTCTATCTCGATAAAAATAAATAAACTAATTAATTCTCAAATTATCCCAGGCAGCAGGGCTTGCCAAATCTATTAAACAGATGAAGAAATCAAGACTCAGCAGCTAATAACCAGGGAACCTAATGGACTCCAAGCTCCTGGAGGACTGAGTTCATGTCTTGCCCATCCTGCAGCTACTAACACTAAGATCTAATATCTAATGCAGTGGTTTTCAACCTTCCTAATGCCTTCTTTTTTTTGAGACGAAGCCTCAAGCTATCCCCCTGGGTAGAGTGCCATGGCATCACGCTCACAGCAACCTCCAACTCCTGGGCTCAAGCGAGTCTCCTGCCTCAGCCTCCCAAGTAGCTGGGACCACAGGCACCCGCCACACGCCTGGCCATTTTTTGGTTGCAGCCATCATTGTTGTTTGGCAGGTCCGGGCTGGGGATTCGAACCTGCCACCTTAAGTGTATGTGGCTGGCGCCTTAGCCACTTGAGCCACAGGCACCGAGCCATTCCTAATGCCTTCTAATGCTGCAACCCTTTAATACAGTTCCTCATGTTGTGGTGACTCCCAACCATAAAATTATTTTTGTTGCTACTTCATAACTGACGATATCTCCTGAGTTAGTACTGGTAGCACACCCCTTTCCAAGATGAGGAAACTAGGGCCGGGATCGGTGGCTCATGCCTATAATACTAGCACTCTGGGAGGCTGAGGCAGGTGGATTGCTTGAGCTTAGGAATTTGAGACTAGCATGAGCAAAAGCAAGAACCTGTCTCTACTAAAAATAGAAAAATGAAGGCAAGAGGATTGCTTGAGGTCTGTGCCTGTAGCTCAGTGGGTAGGGCGCTGGCCAGGCTGGTGGGTTCGAACCCGGCCTGGGCCAGCTAAAACAATGACAACTGCAACAGCAACAACAACAACAACAACAAATAGCCGGGTATTGTAGCGGGAGCCTGTAGTCCCAGCTACCTGGGAGGCTGAAGCAAGAGAATCACTTAAGCCCAAGAGTTTGAGGTTGCTGTGAGCTGTGATGCAGTGGCATTCTACTGAGGGCAACATAGTGAGACTCAGTCTCAAAAAAAAAAAAAGGATCTCTTGAGCCCAAGAGTTGGAGGTTCCTATGAGCTATGACACCATGACACTCTATCCAGGGTGACAGCTTGAGACTTTGTCTCAACAAAGAAAAAAAAGAAAAGAAAACTAGGATGTAGTATAAGTAATTTGCCTGTCTACCCAAATATTGGAACCAAACTCAAAGACAGGCTGTCTAACCCCACAGCCATGGTCTCAACTATAAGGCCATGTGAGGCCCAGAGACGCAGTGGGCATTGGTGCTCAATACATATTTGTAGAACGAATCTCTCTTTGGCCCAGTGCAATAAACGTCAGAAAATGTAGGCCCTAAACCATAGGCTTCCTAGACTGACCTAGTCTCTGCAAACCATTTCATCTCTCTTGGCCTCTATTTTCTCAACTGTAAAATGGAAGTAAATACCCACTCTCTGCTGACATCATAGGCTTTGAATAATCAATACTATGTAATATGTGACCAAGAAAGAACACAGTAAACCAGAGCTCTACAAAGGCTCCTGGGAGCCTTTGTCTCAGTTTTCTCCACAACAGCTTTCTCTACCCCCAGGTCCCTGCTAGGCAGGCAGCAGCCACTCACCGGAGGAAGATGTGATTGCACTGTTTGCGGATATAGGCCCGGAGACCCAGGAACTTGCCATAGACCCGGTGCAGGATAGTCTTGAGGTACTCACGCTCCCTGGGATCCTCGCTATCAAACAGCTCCAGAAGCTGTAGGACCCAGGGCCAGGGGTCAGGTAAGAGGTCAACCCCAGGTTGTTTCCATCCTATCCCAAGCCCCTCAGGGAGTCTGCCCCTGCCTTATATTACCACCCAGCCTGGGCTCCCCACTTCACCATCAGGACAAACTTTTGATCCACATATCTCTTGGCCACGGAGGGCTGGAAGTCTGGGCTTTCCAAGAAACGCAGAAAAAACTCATATACCAGCTAGAGGGGAACAGACAAAAAGATGAGTTCAATACCAGCCTTGTCCACACTTACCCCACCCTCTGGCCCTCATCCAACAGTCTAGGGACTCAGGAAACCCTCCCCCTTCTCAGATCTCTTCCAGAACATGAATCTCCAGCCATCAGACCTGCAGATGTGGCCATGAAGGTTCAAGGTTGGGCTCATCCTCTTCAGGATCAAATTCAGGGTTCTCGCTGGGTGGCAGGGTCCGGAAGATATTCACTGAGATCTGAAGAGCAGAATTAGCATTATTTTTGTTGTTGTTGTTGTTGCCGTTTGGCTGGGGCTGGGCCTGAACTCACCACCCACGGTATATGGGGCTGACACCCCACTCACTGAGCCACAGGCACCACCCAGAGTTAGCATTCTTTAAGGAAATGCCCTTAGGGCACCCATAGCTCAGCGCTTAGGGCATCAGCCACATGCTCTGGGGCTGGTGGGTTTGAACCTGGCCTGGGCATGCTAAACAAAAGTAAAAAATAGGTGGGCAGGCTCAGCGCCCGTAGCACAATAGTGGTGCCAGCCACACACACCGAGGTTGGCGGGTTCGAACCTGGCCAGGGCCAGTTAAACAACAATGACAACTGCAACAAAAAATAGCTGGGCGTTGTGGCAGGCTCCTGTAGTCCCAGCTAC